TACTATCCTAGTACTACAGTAAACATTAACTTTAAACATCTTATTCTTGAACTTTCTTTGCATAATTGAGAAGTTATATTCCCTCAGTTTAAATGTTATCCAAAGGTATGGTCGTATAAAGATGTACATAATTTAACTTTGTTGTTAAAATAGAAGCTAGGATCATGTATTTTAGATGTAAAAATTTAACTATTAGGAAAATTGTGTATTTATAATTCTGGATAGTATTCTCCGTTTTGGGAAATACAAGATTTCTCATATTATGATTCTTTGTGCTTATAATTCTTGTTCACAACATCAGTGTATGAGCGAAACATCTATTCAACATAGCTATACGTGAATTTGATGAACATCCTCCAAAAATCTCTCCCCACTAATGGTTACATAACTCTCTACATATTGCAGAAACTCCATAACCACCGGGTCAGTCCAAGGAGCTCTGCTTGGAGCTTCTGGTCCTGCCACCCAACCCAAGTGCCCTCCTCTTGGTGTTACTATCAACATGCAGTTTGGGTTTGCCTTACACTTTTTGTTGTTAGATAGACCCAAAATCATCATTTGCATGTGAATTAAGAAGAGCCTTCAATCATTCGTCCCTTACCTTGATGTCATTGCGAGGGATCCCTCTATTAGGAGCAATCAGGTCATTTGCTGTCTGCATTTCATATCATACAACACATGAACATATGCAGTGGCGAACCCATGAATTTTTTTTAGGTGGGTCACTAGCAAAAAAACAAAAAAAAGTTACATCAAAATGGAGAATGGGAGACTCGAACCTATATTATGGTTCACAGAATTTAATCAACTAAGCCACCGAATCTTCACTAACTACATGTATTAAAGTTTATTTATTGGCTTTACCTAGATCAAGTGACCTATAATCACTCTTACCGGGTCCGCCACTGAACATATGGAGAAACCAACATTCTAAGGTTATAGATTCATCACTCATTATCTAGGAATTTACCTGAATGCAAAACAAGGGTGTACAAACATATACTATACATTTGGAGTTGCTCGACATGGAATAGTACTCATCCACTGTTTTGAAACCGAATCAGACTGTAACATGAAAAACAAAACAACTATGATTTTAGCTGCGTGTGCCCTCAACTTTTACCTCAAGATTCCATTTCATCTTATCAAAGTATCAAGGAAACTAACCTCGAGTTAAGCCTTCATCAAAATCCCTAACCGTCTCAGCATTTGCAGCCATGGTTATGTTAAAATTCACCTCCTATATATTCAAATAGAAGAAAATGTCTACATAGAGATGAAACTATATGTGACAATGACTTAACTGACAAGAAGAAAAGATAGCGGTGGGAAATCGGATAATTTACTAGCTAAATATTCTACAAAGAGATCTCGACAATGCCTTGTCATAAACATTGCTAAAACCCTTTTCGAAATCTTCGTCCGCTATGACCAAATCGAAAAGATTACACAACGAAACAGCAGCAAAAAGAGGGCAATTATGAGATTCCTGCAACATAACAAGTCGGGTTATCAGTTATACATGGATTCTTAAAACTCATCAGAGATTAAAACCCAAATAGTTAACAAGAATGTTGCCTCCAAAAGACCATCCTGCTGCATATAATTTAGCTTTTGGGAATCTATCACCAACATGAGCAATCACTTCACTAATGTCTCCTAAAAATGAAGCCGAGTAGAATTGTATTCATAACTTTTTTCGACAAAGGCGAAATCACGAGGCTAAATCTGAAGATGACCTCACATACCATTTTGTAG